TTCCGTTAAAACTAAAAATATAGATACATGCATAGTACTGAATGCATCCATTGATTTTATGCATTCATATAGTGAATTCATATACATTTTATACCAATATAAAGTATATATATATAATTATTTTTTTCGAAGGTCGCAACACACGAGTGTGGGTGAGAAGTATGTTCTCAATCTTGGAGAGGATAAGCCGTCGAGAAAAGTTATCCTATACAATTCTCTCCCAAGACAGAGAACGAAAGTGCAAACTTTGATTGTATCAACGCCATTCGTTAGAGTTACAGATCGAAGAGGACAGACTGTTAAATGCCAAGTGTCTCCTGTTTGGATTGGTCCAGCTGCATTGTCCACGGCTAGATATGAATTGTCATTTTTAGTCACTGTACCAGGATTTGGTATTACTACATATATAGTTCACACATTACATAAAGCGTCATATACGAAGTAAGCACAATGATTATGTAAAAACATTGATCATACACAATATCATATGCTATATATTACAGTAGTACAAAGCTTTATTAGCTATTAAATATATTTTTTTAATCATTTTATAAAATATTGCATGAGCCTTACATACTACTAAAAAATAAAATTATTACAGACTTTTTTCTTTTTCAAACAGGGAAGTATATCTGGCTAATGTCACTATTTTTAACACTGACATAAGTTTTCCATCGATACCTGGTTTCAGTCATTTGACAATTATGTCACATTCGCAAGAATTTTCAATTTCTCAACGGCCGAATTTATCCGCTTCTTTCGGGAAATCTGGTTTGTTGAAGGCTTTACGAGTCGGCAATACCATGTTTCCCGTGCATTTAGATTTCGTAAAATATGGTACTAGAAGTTCCGGTAAAGATAGAAGTGGCGCTTACTTATTCCTGCCTGACAAATCGGAACCAGATGTGGTGTTTATGGATGGCAGGGCAATTATTCATTTAGTAACTGGACCAATTTTATCGAAAGTGTTTATAGAATTACCGTACGTACGGCATACTTGTACACTGTTTAATTCCCCTGGTAGTGATGGGCTCGGATTATATATATTAAATGAAGTCGACATAACGGAGACACAAAACTATGAACTTGCAATGCGTTTCAACACAGACATTGCATCCGGCAACCAATTTTTCACAGATTTAAATGGACTTAATGTAAGCATATTGATGTAATGAATTAAAAATTGTATTTTAGTCCTTAAACAAGATTTACATTTATTGAGATATAATTGTGATGTATACTTTATCCGATTAATTTTAGATAATCCGACGGCAAAGATTTTCTAAGCTTCCCACACAAGGGAATTATTATCCGATGGCAGCAAGCGCATATATAGAAGATAAAAGAGTTAGATTAACAGTTGCTACAGCGCAACCATTAGGAGTAGCTTCTATGGCGTCTGGTCAACTTGAGGTAAGTTAGTAACTTTGTCTTCAGAAAATGTACATCTTACAATTAGTGCAAACAAGTAAAATGAAAAATTAAGCTATACTAAAAACTTACACAACATTATTTACGTAATAGTAATTTTCTTGAATGAAAAATATATTCATTAAAAATTTAGTAAAATTAAATATGCAGTGTCCTAGCGTTTTTCACTGGCAAAGCTAGTGTCCACTCAATGCACTTTAAAGCCGTTGTACACAAATCGACGTAAAAATGTACGTTTAATAAAAATATAAAAACGAATTAAACCGCGAAATCCTCAATATATTTTATTGTGGTATTTGATAAAATATACATTGGATATTTTATTAATTGAGATCTCACTTTTACATTCAGATTAGGTTAGTATACAACAGCTTTAATGTGCGCACCTCTGTAAGTGAGAGTTCTGTCAGTGAAAAACGCTATAATTTTTGTTACACCTTAATTTTAAAAACATATGCATCATGTACATATATACATAAGTAAGTACTTATACAGGGTATACAAAAAGTCTCAGATCCCTTAAATACTTGAAAAACAAGCATTTCTGAGAAAAATATTTCATACAAAAGTCATAGGGTTTTAAATGATCTATTAAAATCTTATCATTTAACCTTGGCTGGCACCATCAAGGTTAAATCGAATTTTTTAAAATAAAATATCCTTTTTTTTTCTAACATTTGGAATCAAGAGCTTTTCAAAACACTATAATAAAACCTCTTTTTAATTAGTACTTTTCGAGTTATAAGATTTGAAAGTTACAATATTGTAAAAAATAAGCGACAACATAAGAAAAATATCAGGGCGCTTTGGGCTCCCAGATTCTAACTGAAACCGGATCTCCTCCATATTAGTAGACTTCCGTCCTGAGCCGCATAGCCCTGACGTTGTCTATTTTGTGTCTAGTTCCTCCAAATTTTTTACAATATAATTTGACATTAGCATTACTTAAGGTGTATTGCGTGCAGATTGTTTGAATATCTATCATGGAACATATCGGAATCAATTCCGATGTTAATGCATTACGATTCCGGAATCAATTCCGATCGGAATTATTCAAATATTCCCTAGATTTCTATTGTGTTTCCCAAGGAAACCAAATAATTCCAATCGAAATTCATTCCGACTTTGTTCCTTGATAGGTGCCCTGATCGGATTTAGTTATGGTAAAATTAATAAAGTGAAACGCGCGCACACGCACGCACGCACACACATACACACACACACACACACACACACACACCCATTGCGGATAAACAATATCGGAAGTAGCCAATCAAATGAAAGGCGATAGCAAAACTGGAAATAACCAATCAAATATTCCCCAATATGTACTTTCCTGCGTATAATGGTGCTGGTTATACTAGAACAGTCAATCAAATGTTATCCAAATTCATTTTCTTACTCCACGAAAGTGTATATTTCACCTTATTAATTCTATCATAGATTTAGGATCTTTTTCGCCAACCTCGATTAAGTTAACCGACAGTTATATGGGACTTATTTAGATTAAACCCAGTTTCACAACTCATAGTTAACTTTAAACCGAGGTTTAATTTATTTTAAGTAATAATGAGCTGTGAAACAGGGTCTAAATGAGCCCCATATAACCATCGATTAGCTTAACCGAGGTTAATGAAAGAGACAATGAAGTTGAACCTCAGTTTTGAGTTAATCGTTAGTTGTGGAATTGGGCCTCAGTCATGTTTATGTGTTCGCGCGTATCTATCTCCTCTTCCCTCCTCTTCTTTCCTTTCTCTCGCATAGTTATCTTTCATTATTAAAAATATTTATTTAAAATATTAATACTAACTGAATAGGAGCGTATATCCCTTTCAGTGATGCAAGAGGTGAGGTCTTACGCACAAGTAACAACTCTCTCTTTTTAATTAATCTTTTAGAAATAAAGGCAGTGATATATCTAAAGACTGTCATTCATATGAGTATTTATCATTCTCTTAATCCCAATGTCTTTGAACAGAAAGTTTAACTAAGATACTATGAGTATCTACATCTGTTATTTTTCCGTTATAGTCCTTTTCTCACTTTCTTGCTCCTTTCTCTCTCTCTCTCTCTCTCTTTCTTGCACTCTGGCTCTAAACTTTGAAGAGAGAACAAAGACTGGGAAAAGGACTAAAATTGGCGGATGCAAACCTATATTATAGTGCTCTACTTTAACGAGCCGGAAGCACAGGTTACCGATATCCTTTCGAGCTAAAATTTTACAGAAATTTTGGTGGGTAGAATCATCTAAGGAGTAAGGTGAAAAGAAAAATCGAGAAATAAGGACCACTCTAATATGTATGCCAATAGTTTTTAAATCAATAGCGATTAAAGTTCCCTAATCACAGAGCTGACATATCACGCACTTAGGCATGATGATATGACAATGGTGATGATGTATCATGAAGGGCCCTCTCGGCATCTTCAAGATCATACAAATATACAATGATATTTTTATTAAATAATTATTCTTGCTTTTATATAGGATCTATTTATATATTATACGTACGCATAATTAATATCGGAACATACCATAAAATGTCAATTCAATAGTGAGATATTACGACGTATATCAAAATAAATTTATAATCATATTTGTTTGTGTGATAAACATTTTTGTATAACATAATATGAAAATAAAATTATTAAAAAAGCTAAAAAGAAGTTACCGATAAACAAAATGTTGACAATAAATTATTTTATATTTAATGTATTTAGAAACATTAAAATTCAAACGAAACTAGATTTAACATTATAATGTCTCCTTCGCAAAAATTATTATAGAATATTAAATGAACATAAACTGTAAGAAAAGTCAATCAAATATGATTACATCAACAATGTTAAAATGTTTCCCATCGCATTACGTTCTTCAACACGAGATAGTCCATTGGTCATTTTCATGATATTTTTCGATCTACGTGAACGCAATAATTATGAACGTAATAATAATTTTTTTTTATAGATTATGCAAGATAGAAGATTACTTCAGGATGACAATCGAGGATTAGGACAAGGTGTAATGGACAATCTGTTAACAAATCATATATTTACATTAATTCTGGAAAAAAAGGAAACGAATTGCCCCTTTGCAATACCAAAAAATCATCCAGCAGGATTATTATCTTTAAGCGGTCACTTAGCTTCGGAAGAGTTACTGCATCCAATTATAGTGTTGCATCCTCATAATTCTCTACCATTCGATCTGCATGCTTATTTCTCACCACTTCGTTACAATCTTCCAGTAGATTTAAGTATTGTCAGTCTTCGAGCGTTTCCCATTCCTGAAGGTGCTGGCAAAGGTATCGGTATGGTATTGCACCAATCAGCTTTGGATGCTTGTTTTAACAATTCTTTCTTGCGACACTTCAATGTTTCGGAATCAGGAGAAGTAGATTTGACGAAACTATTCAACGATATGGAAGATTGGACCATAAGTAAAGCGCCTCTTACGTTTCATAATGTCGGACCATCTCTGAAATCGCCCATTGTAAACTTATGTCCGCATCAAATATTGCCGATCTTATTTCACAAGACGCAGTCTTAATCAGGGAGAAGATATAATACATAACGTAATGTGTTACTTTCCATTTATCCACATAAATTTTGTTTACTCAAGATTATATAGTCTAAATCCGAGACCGGTGGATACGAATTGTCCAATTTGTATCTAAAACAGTGTACAAAATTATAGTCATTTTGATTAAAGGTCTTGCTTAGTACAGTGGGCATATTATAACAAATGTACAATTCAAATATAAATTAAATTGCAACAAGAAATTCGATATATATTTAAGAAATTAAGATATTCATAAATATATGTGTATTATGTATACATATAATTACATAGTCTAGTTTGCCTCGTACACGCATATATTGTATCAACAATTCATTGTATATTAACAATTGAAAACAAAAAACATATAGTTCTTAATAATGTAACAATAGTTCTTTGTAATTGTGATATTAATTAATTGAATTAATATTTATTACCATACACGTTTAAAAAGTGATTTTTTCATGTATCATTTATTTTATTATTTTGATAATTATTAGTTTTATAGCAATTTTTATGACTTTACCAATTAAGCTGTGTGTGTATGTAAGACGATGTGTACATAAGACGGTATTGATAATGTTTGAGAATAGATGATACATCTAATGAAGCATTAAAAAATACAATTCATATTGTGTAATGTAACGTTTTACTGTTACAAATTCGAATAGTACATCTATTTAATTTATCATTCTTTATTTGATATTTTAATTTTGTACAATGTGAAATGTAAATTCTATATATTTTATGCACGTGTATTCAATTGAAAAATGCTTTTGTAGAATGTTCACGAATGACTATTGTAAATGAGTGAACACGAGTGATAACGTATTTTCACTGTATATTTCCTCGTTGAATTGAAATGATTTGAGTTGTCTATCGAGCAGAAAAAATCATATTAAATACAAAGTAAAGATCTGAATCGTTAAATTTAATAGCATTTTGGTTGCCATTCGTATTTGAGTGACGCGTTAAATTCACAAGTTTCATTATTTATTTGTGAATAGTTTTATTTACTTGATTAAGAATACTAACAATAAGTATTTAAAATACTTATAAGTTACCTATAAGTATTATTTATAAAGAAACAATACAAGTTGTATTGAGTTGTATTTTTGTATAAAAAATACAAGGTATTAAAATAATACATTATGAAATCAGCTTGATAGCCAAAATGCAAATTGAGTAATGATACAAACCAATACAGAACTATCTCATCAAAAGTAAATATCAAAAGTAAATCACATACAGTGTAAAAAAGATTTGGGTTATACAACAATTATATATACATATACATTGGTCTACAAAATTAACGCATAATTAAAGTTATATAAACATTTAGCATAACCTCAAATAAACATAATTATGCAACAAATGATTGTATTTAAAAGTTTTTTTTACAAAAGTAGAGTCTTTACTTGAAGAAACATTAGTCGTGATTCGAATCTTCATATATTCCAGCACCTTTTAAAAAGTAAGTACATGTTTCATCAATTGTACATACTTTGACATATTGTACGGAACAGAATAAATTTTTCTCACAAGTATCATGGCATCACATTGTAAATTTTTTACTTTTTCTTACAAATTAAAAAAAAAGAAAAGTTTGTATAATTTTTTTCGCGGAGTTATAGTATGTCGAAGTTACTTATGCATTTTTGTTTACAGTTTACCGCCAACATTATCCGACGTATACCATGGAAAGATTACTGGTCAAATTTTGATGACTCTGATTCAATTTTTTTTCATACGAATAATGATTTGTACATACTAAATTTCATTAAAACATTAGAGCATTGTTACGATTTTGTCGTTTGTTTTCCAAATGAACAATATATTATAATACAGTGATTACAATACTGTGAAGTATTATACGTACTGAAGTAACTTCATAGTACAATACTCGTTTATTTCAGTATGAAATTATTTAAGATAGTGACACACAATGACTAAAGACCTCTTTTACAAATTTCTGATTAAATTAATTGACGCATCAACTCGCAGGAGCGCCAACAACAGTTTAATGTATCAGAACGTCTCCTCTCTCTTCCTCTTCGGGGACAAACTGTGTTTAGTTCTCACATTAATCGTAGTAGTTGAGTTAATTATCGATTAGTATTAATCGGAGTTGATGAAAGAGGACCTAAAGGGTCACTTTAACAAACTTAATCGGCCGATTATATATATATAT